GTGGGCAGCTATTTTCCCCTAAGTCAAGGGTGGTCACACTGGTTCTCAGCCATGATCAGCTGGCTCCCACTGGTACCTCCTCCACCTTTAGAAACGGGTGGCAAACCATTTTGAAGGACTCGAGTGGGTGAGCCCAAGAAGATCCGGATGGGGGGGTGTATCTTATTTGTGGCTTGTTTGTCTTCTTGAGCTTGAGGTTGTCTCCTGCCACCCCCCAGGCCTTGTGCTTTTTTGGCCCGGCTCGCTTCCAAAATGAGAGACAAAAAAAAAAGTGGCCTGGGGCAGTGGGAGTGTGAGGAAGCTGTGTTTTCCTTCTCGCCCGTTCTCCCCTTCCGATGTCGAACAACGGCCGAGCCCTTGCACCCCACCCCACCTGATCCGGCAGGGTTGCCCCGTCGTGTCTGGTTTCGCCCAAACACTGCAGGGGAAGGCAAGAAAACTGCTGCCGATGATGCATCGCTTGGGGGTAAGTGGTTTGGAGCGAATCTCAAGATTCGACTCCTCTGCGGGTCAGTTGCTTTGCTTTGTGTTGTGCAGGTCGACCGGATGGCATAGGGGTCGAACATCCCGTCTCCTTGGGGGTGTGTGTGAAGACATTCTGTAAGAACTGCTGTGTGGAAGGGGCCTGAGATACTGGTGCTCAGCTTCTCTGTATCATCCCAGTTTGAAGATAGACTCTCGATGTGGCAGAGAAATCCACTCTAAATACTTAATATTCTAAAGAATCAATTTGCAGAAGAAGGCAAAATGCTTTTTCATGTTTCAGTGGAAGGCATGGAAAAGGACGTAGATTTTTAAGAAGCAAGAATATATAAAGCGGAACGCATGACTGTGTAATCGTTCCAAGCAAGTTAAGACATACAAGAGTGAGTTTCAAGGACTTCATGGTCGTTCAGCTCTCTCTGATCTGTCGCCCATCCGTGAGTCTTCTTAAGGCAGGGATACAGAAGAGATTAAAGGCCTGTGTTGATCTCCCGGCTTGATCCTGATCTGTGACTTCCTCAGCAGGTCATTGGTGAAAAGGGAGGGCAGAAGGGAGGAAAAGAATCTACAACGTGGGGATTCATGGAATCCGAGAATCAGGGAGTTGGAAGGGGCCTCGAAGGCCATCGGGTCCAACCCCCTGCTCAAAGCAGGAATCCTTGATTCCCAACACAAATCAAAGCAGATCTGCCAGGTGGTTGGTTCTCTAAGTTTCTCTTGAATGCCTCCAGTGTCAGAGTGTTCAATACCTCCCCTGGAGTCCCCGGATTCCATTGTCGTACTGCTCTAACAGTTAAGAAGGTTTGCAATCCTGCTGACTTCTGATGCCAGCGCTTTTAAATTCGGTCCTTAGTGATCTGAATCAAAGCGGCAAGATGCCAAATTATAGGTTTACAGTATTTATTTATTTTATAGACCACCCCATTATTTTGCTGGCCAAAACGGTCAGCAACTCTAAACTATGTTAAGGGCTGCTCACTTAAAGGTCCAAAAAGATCTCTCTAGACTTGGAGGTGGGTCGGCGGGGAAATAAGCGGGCAAATTTCGGGGTTGAGACAGAGGACGTGTCTGCCCTGAAAGCCCTGAGCGTTTCAGAGATCCTCGGCAAACCTGCCGTGATCCCCGGTCATCCAGATAACTGGTTGTTGGTTGGCAGCATCCTAAGTAGGGCGTCTGTCCTACTTATATGGCAGGGTGAGTTGGTAGATTCTGGAAGTTGTACAGTGATGCATCGCAAGAAGAATGCCTCGCACAACGAAAAACTCGCAATACAAAACTGTTTTGTGATTTTTTGTGACTTGTAAGACAAAATTTTCTATGGCCGTGCTTTGCAAGACGAATAGGAACGCATTAATTAAATGTCAATGCATTCCAATGGGAAGCTGCGCTTCGCAAGACGAAATTTTTGCAAGACGAAACGACTCGCAGTACGAATTATTTCCGTCTTGCGAGGCATCACTGTAAATCAAAAATTGTAGTGCTCCTGAGCTGGCGACTGATGCTTGGTCCTTCTGCTCTCGGTACGTGTGCCGTATCCTGTCAGGTTGCATCCAGATTATGGCAGTCCTAATGGGGTTCTCAAAATGTGTGGGATATTTAAGCCATACTTTTACATGGTCTTGAACCCAGGTCCCTTGAACTCTAGCCCATCACTCAGCCCACCCTACCTTTCTCTCTCTCTCTCTCCGTTTTTTGTGTGTGTTTCCTCTTAGCTAATTTCTTGGTCAGTTGGGAAAGACGGAGAGGAAACCGCTGGCTATCCGATCAGAGCTGCCTTCCCACGGTGGCATCTCCGTTTCACCAAGAAAAGTTACAGAAAAAGACACAGAAAGTGTTATCAAGGATGGCCGTATTCGGCTGAATAGGACGTTCTGTCAACTGGAAGACCTTTTTGTGCAGCCAAAAAACTTTCAAGGGTAGATTAGGGTAAAAAGTTTGTGGAGTTCCCATTTAATTAGCAAGCCCTAGTCTCCTACGGAGTGTGGAGTGTTGTTATCGCTCCAGGGGGAGGCAAAGACAAAACAACCGAAAGCCACCTTTTGAGAGGAAGAGATTAAAGCTTTTGAGAAAGGCAGGTCACGGCCTTGATGCCTCTGAAGATGGGAATCGTTAATCCACCAAAGCTCACCCAAAAATAAACCTGTTAATCTTGAAGGGGGCTTCTGGAGTTTACTGTGATTACGTTGAGTGGGGAGGGAAGGCTTACCTGTCAAGACAGAGCCATACCTTTGCCTTAAAAAAAAAAATCACCTCTGTTCACTTAGCTTGTGCCAGGGTGTTAGTTTCGCAGCAGTTTTACAAAGGCCCAGCCTTGAAAATAGAATTACACTTTCCATGGGTTTTTGAGCTCTTTCTCTCTGACTTCACCATCTCCAGAATTTTTGGTACTGACATATAGTGCACGCCTTCAGCTACGTGCACCGTAGAGGCACCTACAGTTCCTTTGATGGGGCATTGTCTTCACTTTAGGATTGTCCAAAAAGGCATGGAAAAGTGTACAGAATTCTGGAAACATCCCCTCCTCCCCGGTCAGTTCTGAGTCAAAACGAAGAGGCAGTACGGAGAAACCTGAGAGGCAAATCCGTGTTGTCTTGCATGGTGTCTTGAGGTAATCAATATGGGGGGAACGATCTTAGGGAAATTCAGCCGGGGCCCACCAGGTGATGGGATGGCATTTACAAGCTCCTGTGAAAGAAGAATTGTGTACTATCAAGTCAATATGGACTTAGGGTGGGCCTTTCCAGGGTTTCCCAGGTACAGAATAGTCTCCCATTCCCTTCTTCTGGGAGGGGATCCCTGGGACCCCCGTACTGCTGGCCCAAGGCCACCTAGGCTGGCTCTTCTCCCAGAAGGTACCGTGGGGGGAATTGAACTGCCAGCCTCTGGCTCTGCAGCCTGAGACCTACGCCACTAAGCTGTCCGGCCAGCTTATCATAATCATGCCACCGTCGAGTCTCTTCTGACCGATGGCAACTTTTTTTCAGGGTTTGCCAGGTAGAGCACGCTCAGAAGGCGTTGACTCTTCCCTGCTCGCAGCTGGCCCAAGGCCACCTAGGCTGGCTGTTCTACATGGAGTCCCAGTGGGGGAATTGGAACTCGGAACCTCTGGCTCTGCAGTAAGGCACCTAAACTACTACGCTGTCCAAGCAAAAAACAGAGAGAATCGAGGTACCAGGTTTTGCGATGTCCCACCTGAAGAGGAGTCGTGTCGTCTTGAAAGTCTGCCCATTTTCATATCCTTTTGAGTTGGCCTCTAATAAAAGTACTGAGGACCAGCCTGGTTATGTGGCGAACGGAGTGTCAGACTAGGACTCGGGACCTGGGTTCAAATTTGCATTTGATGGGGTGGGTTGGCAAAGGGAGACTGCTCCTTTGAACGACTTACATACTTCAAAAGACTCTTAACAGGACCACCCTAAGTCTGAAGCAACTTGGCAGCCCCTAAAAACGAAAATAAAAGCCATATACCCGGTATGTTTTGTGGAATTTATTTTTAGGGCCACCCACGCTGCTTCTGCTTTTGTTTAAAATTCTGTGCAATTCTGTGCACATTTAATAAAGCCGGCTGCAGACCGAGGAAGCTTGTGCTGTATTGAAGGTCTTTTGAAAGCGTCCAGTGAGTTCCTGCGTTGCTTTTCCTGCCACAGATTGACCTAGCAGCGAGCCCTTCTAGAAATGCATGTGGTGTTTGCTCAGGTGTAGAAGGATCCTGCCCATTCCTGTTGTTTGAGAGCATCTGGCTGGACATGGAGGGGATTGATGCAAAGGGCTAAGCTTGGCCCCAATACGGAGTTAACGGAACAGCCTTCCTGAGAGTTGGTGTTCTCTCTCCTCTCACCTGAGCCTGGTCCTTCCTTTTAGAGTCTGGGGGAACCATTGGGTGAATGGTGCCCCGAAGCCCTTCCTTTCCCTTCTCTGAGTTCTTTCTCCCTTTGGCGACCAGGAGCCAGAGACACAGAACCTTAGAGAACAAGTCTTAGTTTGGAGAGAGAGACAACTCACGTAACCCTCAGGTCAGTGTAGTGAAACCTGGAAGTTTCTGGGAGTTGTAGTCTGGAGAATGAAAGAATGAATGAATTTAGTTGGTTGGTTGGACCCTCCTTGTCCAGTAGCAGTGTATCTTCAAAGATCAGGTGCAACCTAAGACCTCCAAGGCCTCCGTGCCAGGTAACAGGAAACCGGTATAGCCTTTGGGTTTGGTTTTCTGGTTTGGTTTTTGCAACTGCGCTTCTTCCGAAGCCACTTTTTTGAGGGAGCTAAAGCTAACTGGATCCCACGGCCAGCCTCTTCAGCGGCCACACGGGTGGGCAGATGCTGAATTCTGTCACCCTGGAGAGGAACGTGGCCAATCTGTAGACTTAATGGGGCTTTTCGTGCCTCCTTGCTATGCTTCTGCCCTTTTGAACGCTGCGATTCCAGCCGGGCTTGAAAGCGGTGCTAAGCCAAACCTGGCTGGGCTTCTAAAGCCTCCGTTCCAGGCGGCAGCTGGCTGGGAAAAGCAGGATCCCTGCCTGGTCTGGATCCCTTTGAAAAGAAACACATCATCAAGGGAGGAAGCGGTTTATTGGCCGTGAAGGTAAATTGGCTTTGGTTGTGTTAGGACCGAACCCAGGCGGGGCTGATGGCTCCCTGTTGGTACCCAAAGTTAGAGGCAGTCGGGACTAGGAGGGCATGGACTCTCCGAGAGGGCCGGACGGAGGAGAAGCGGCCACCGGAGCTTGGAAAAATTACTTTTCTGGATGGTGCTTCCCAGAATCCCCCCCTTCCCCGGCACTGACCCTCCTGGCGATGGGTTCGGGACATCCGCTGTTGCTTTCCCAAGGCCGATCATCTCTGTGTTCCTGCCTCCCCCTTTTCTTTTACAACGTAAAAGTTACAGGGTTTATCTCTTCAAAGGGAGGAGGAGAGCCCGGTGGGAAATCTAGCCGGAGTCTCAGGTTCGAGAGGCGTGTTGTCAGTCCTTGAAAGTTTTCCCACGGAGGGGCTTCTCCGCTTTGGAACAGGCAGTCCTGAAATGTTCCCGAGTAGCGGGCCTGGCAGCGTGGCCGAGAAGGATGGGGCAGCGATGGGCTGCGGGAACCCTTGACTCCTTCGGGCCGGCCACTTCTGGTTTGAAAAAGCTGCGTCTGTTTGTGTGGGAGAGAGAAAGTGTTACAGTAGTTTGGAAACTTTAAAAGTAGAAGGTTTGGGCTCTTTAAAAAGCTAGTTGTTCCTGGAAGTTTCCAGAATTGCTTTTATTTTATTTTATTTTATTTTCAGAAGGATGCAACATTGTTATGAGATCAGCAGAGTCTGATGGGTACCATGGAGCCGTCCATGGCTGGCAGAGTCAATGTCTGAGAATTTTTTTTCATAAACAAGCTCATGACATCATCCCATCATCCTCTTGTCAGCCTCCCCTTTCCCCTCTGAGCTCAGCTACAATTCCCACAGGACCTAGGAGAGAAATGGATTTTTTCCCCAAGAAGAAAATATAACATCTCAAGCAATCCTCGTTGCAATGCAAAGTGTGTTGGTTTTGAAAGAGCCATTAAGAGCCGTTCACTTTCCAAAAGGCCTGCTCCTTATTTGTTGATATGGACCAGTTCCATGGTCTCTATGTCTGTGCTTTCCTTCTTAGGAGAGGGCCAGTGGGCTTTTGGGAGCTGTCACAGTGAGCCGTTTGTGCATCTGTATTTTCCCTGGGTGAGAAACTTTAAAAGCAGCCTTGAAGAGTAGGCTTCCTCCACTCTTTGTTTGCAGTGTTTTGCCTGTGAGGTGTGAGCATGATGGATCAATGGATGGAAGGAAGGGGAAGGGCAGAAGCCGAGGGAGCAAACCCCCTGGCGAGGAAGAGGGCTGCGTAAAATGATGTAAGTGGTCCTGCGGCAGGTCACCTCTGATGGAGTAAGAGCTGCCTCCCCGATGGGCACCCAAAGAGAAAAACCTCGAAAAACGGTTGGTGCTTCTTGTCTTGAATATTAAGGCAGTGCCATGAGTCCACAAAACAGGAGGAAAGGAGGAAGATGATGACGACAGCTAGCTTATTTTGTCGGGCTGTGCTGGCACCTCTTGTCCTTTTGGCCCAGCCTAGCAGGGACCGACGGCACACATCCTGTATAATCAACAACTTCTCTGTGGCCGATTAAAGTGGGCTGTGGGCAACCCCCCGGGACTGAGCAGCCGATGCCTGCTTGTCGTGAAAGAATCCGGAGCCCGGGAATTGGAATTAAAAAAAATCTGAATGGCGCAGACCGTCTTGGGATCCAGAAATCTCTTTGTGGTTTATTGGAGCTTGGCGGTCTAATCAGGAACCCCAGGAGGAAATGAGAAATCTTTGCTTCTGTACGGAAGAAGACTTAAGAGTTCTACCACTACTAGACCTACATTTAGCCTCTGCCCGCTCCCCGATTTCCAAATATCTGATGTAGATGAAACCTAGTCTTGATTCGGTGGCAGCTGGGAACCCCAAGGCCCTTCTTGAGAAAATATTTGGAGAAGGGAACCCTGGCAGGCGCTGTGGGTCCTCACGCCTCCTGCCCCCCCCTCCCGTGGACACCTTCCCTTGTTGGCGTCTCCTTCAGGTGGCCAACCGGTCCCGTCTCTCCTTGTCTAGTTATCCTTGGCCCCTGCTGTTTGCTGATTTTTGATGTCTAGGTGGGGCTCCTCCTTGCCACCGTCAGAAGGTGGAGTTGGGGGTCACCGGGATGGTCCCGAAGGACTGAACATCAGCAGTTCTCCTTGCTGGAAGAGGAAGGAGAGCACCTGGTTTCCCTTCAGAAGAGGGGCCGAGCACCAGATGGGGTGGGAGGTGGTGCAGGCTTTGCCAGGCTGGTCTTTGTTGACATGGGCAAACAGCCCCCATCTTGCATCTTACACAAGTCGCTTATTTATGTGCCCACCCCAAAGATTTTAGATCAACGATGACCAACCTTGGGTCACTCAGGTCTTCTTGGACTGCAGCTCCCGGAAGCCTTGACCACCTGCTCTGCTGCTTGGGGTTTCTGGGAGTTGTAGTCCAGGAACGCTTGGGTGACCCAAGATTGGGAACGACCGCTTTAGAGGGTAGTGCTGCTGCTGGCGATTTTTCCACGGCTGCTGTTGCTCCCACCCCACACCATCATGTCCTCGGAGAATCCTGAGCATCAACCATCCCTGATTGCAAGAGGCTAGTTCAGCCGCTGGTCTTGGGGAGCCTGCCCTCTGAACCCCCTGGCAAGTGAGATTTTAGATCAACGATGACCAACCTTGGGTCACCCAGGTCTTCTTGGACTGCAGCTCCCGGAATCCTTGACCACCTGCTCTGCTGCTTGAGGTTTCTGGGAGTTGTAGTCCAGGAACGCTTGGGTGACCCAAGATTGGGAACGACCGCTTTAGAGGGCAGTGCTGCTGCTGGCGATTTTGCCACGGCTGCTGTTGCTCCCACCCCACACCATCATGTCCTCGGAGAATCCTGGGCATCAACCATCCCTGATTGCAAGAGGCTAGTTCAGCCGCTGGTCTTGGGGAGCCTGCCCTCTGAACCCCCTGGCAAGTGAAGCTGCCGTAGGTCGAACAGTATTCCCCATCTCTGCTCTCGCCTGATGTCTGGGGCTAGAACCCCTTTGTTTTCCCCACCAGTATGGCCACTTGGAGGGCTGGTCTTAAGGCCACAGTGCTCACAGAGAGATCATGAGCTGGTCTCTCTCAGTCTGGCCTACCTCACTGGGTTGATGTGAGAGTGCAGTATTCAGAGGAGGTTGCACCCTACCCCGTAGAGGGAGGTACGGTCTAGAAATAAGTACAGTGGCGCCTCGCTTAGTGATGTTAATCTGTGCAGAAGAAATCACTGCTAAGCGATAACATCGCTAAGCTGGTCGAAGGGCTTGGTGACCTCTCGATGGCCTTACAAAACCAGAAGTAGCCCCCCTCCTTTTTTGAGAGCGTACCTTTCAGTGAGGAGACGGCCTTGGGGAACAGCCCCAAAGCAAGCTGAAATCTGTCAAGATCATCGGAGTGAATACAGATGAATTAAACTGGAAAAACCCTGACCTATGAGAGAAAGGAGCAAAGAAAGAAAGAAAGGGTATTTCTGGTTTTGTATGGCCATCAGCCAGGTATGAAAAAGATCACAGAATCATAAAACAGTGGAGTTGGAAGGGGGGGTGTCAAATCAAATCAAACAGATGGTGGCCTGGTTTTCTCTTGAAGGCCTCCAGAGATCGCTATGCGAGGTACCACTGTAATGGTAAAGCTTCCCCATGACATCGAGTCCATTGTGTCCGACTTGAGGGTGCGGTGCTCATCCCCGTCTCCAAGCCGTGGAGCCAGCGTTTGTCTGTAGACAGTTTCCGTGGTCACGTGGCCAGCGTGACCAGACACGGAATGCTGTTACATTCCCACCGAGGTGGTACCTATTTATCTACTCACATTTTTACATCCTTTCGAATGGCTAGGTTGGCGGGAGCTGGGACAAGCGACGGGGGCTCACTCCGTCATAGGGATTCGATCTTACAACAGCTGGTCTTCCGACCTTGCAGCACCCGCGGTTTAACCTGCAGCGCCACCACTGTCCCTTCTGAAATAAGTGGGTGGGAATAAAAGCCCAAATAATTTGAAATCGAGCCCAAGCTCTCATTCTCCGTGTGATGTGATTGAAGTCTTAGGGACAGACACATGGGAGGTGGAGTACTTTGTTCTCCACCTTCAATTTCTCATGGGATCATGGGGGGGGGGGGAAGCTGTGCTTTGGTAAATAATAAGACCTTCTGCCCGGACAATCTCCCAGCACTGGGCATGGATATCATCTCATGGTGCCATCTGGAGAAGGTTTGTACGTAGGCATGAATCCTGACTTAGGGCAACTTTTTCCAGGTTTTCCTGGGTGGGGAGCACTTCGAAGGAGTTTCTCATTCCCTTCTTCTGGGTGTGACGGTGGTGCAACACAGAGACACGGACGTGACAAGCAAAAAAGTGTAGGGGTGTGTGATTACGAGCACTGAAGACTTGGCTCTTCCGCCAGGCATTCCCTGAGCGTTAAGTTTTTGAGATCTCGTCCTCCCCTTTTACGATCCTTTTTGACCACCCTTTCATCCTCCTTTTGACCCTCTTCAT